TCTTAAAACTACTCTCTTCAGTCAATTTTGATTTCAGGAGTATATTCAGCCGTATTTTTATGCATCTTTATCTCAGTTACTCACCCTTAGCTTCCTTTACAGTCAGTGAAGCCTAACAGGCACTTCCAAGGTGCAGCTCAATCTTGTTTAGATTCTTACATTAGTCTGAGGTTAATCATGCCCAAGACTTGCTCTTAATATATGAGGAGACCAAGTCAGAGGCAGAAGCCCACCCTATAAAAATTTGTATCAGCTGAATCCTGCTCCATTTGATTGCCAAGTCTACATAGTTGTGAAAATTTCAAGATGGTGTAACATTTTTAAATACATAATCCATCACATTTGAAAATCTCTTCTTCCTTATAAATCTAAAGAAAACAGTGATGGTTGTTTATCTAAACATTGTGCAAAGCAATTGGTTTGCTTGTTTCTAATTATTCAGATCTGAATTATTAGCAAAGCAGATTCCTATTGAAGGCAAGTATAATTGATGCACCAGAAAGCTTCTGCTCTCAGCTTCATACTATAACAACCTTTGCTTTCTAAAATCATCATGAAAATTATAGTGGCCTTTGAAAGGAAGAATTCATGCAAAGCATCCCCCAATGCTTTTTAAAACAAAAGCCAAGGACAACCTCCGAAAAAAGCAAGGTTAAGATCCAACTGGCCAGCACAGACTGGGATTTTGTTTCAGTTGTCAGATGGGCAGGCCTTGTTTATTTAGTCCACCCTTTGTTTAAGCAGCAACATGACAATTGCTGCAAAGGAGGACACTTTATCATTATCTTGTATAATAATATTTATTATTAATTCATTATTGTGTCATATAGATGCAGGTTGGAATAGTTCATCTGAGATGTTTTAGCCTTGGAGGGAAGGCTGGGAGGACAGGAAGTCTGTGTGTCCTGGCGGCATAAATGCCAATCTCGCTGGTTAATGGAGCAGCAGGAGCGCCTGGCTCAGCGGCAGCGCGGAGCTTCGCCTGCTCAGCTGGAGGAGCAGCTCACAAGCACTGCCACCACAGAGCACAGCATCCTGTTAAAGGGATGAAGACAAAACTGTGTTTGATTTTCAAAATGGAGGGGCAGGAACTTCTCCTGACCCTGTCAAGGCTTTACTGATCTTAATGGGTCTGCCACAGAGAAAAACTCTGCTTGAACAGCAGAGGGGGGCTGCTCCTGAGGGACGAGTTCAAAAATACCAGCTCAGAAACATTAATAAAAACATTTCCCACTGTTTCTTCATCAAAGCATAAAAGAAACAGCATACTGCAGAGCACACTGGCAAAATCTGTACGCTTCTACCATTAAGTACACATAGGCTCGTTTCTCTAAACTAGTAACTGAGAGTTTCTCGTAGAGTGGACGAATTTGTTACAGTAATAGTTTCTGGAATAAGTAGATCCCATAAAGAGGGCTTAATGCTTATTTCTAATCTCCTGGAAGGTTGTACAAATGAAAAAAAATGAGGTTAATCACCAAGGAAAAACACTAATGAAGTAATGCATCTTTTCTTAAATATTAATTATTATTCCTTTTTTTCCCATCACAGAATTTACACGGTTTTCATGAATCAAGGATTAATTCAAAGGTTTACATTTATCCTCTGCTGTGAATGGATTCCTTCTCAGTGGAGAGTGAATGAATTTATTTTGTACCAGCTTTCTGCTTGAAAAGAAAATCCTTCATAAAAGAACTGGCAATCTTAGTCAGAGAAATCCAGACCAAGTAAAGCATTTCATTGTTCAGGGTGTTAGACCCTAATGAGTTCTGTGTCTAAATGCTTATATTTTTTTCCCATCTGATCAGCAATAGCATAGCAGGTTATGCACTTAAATGTAAAACACTTGTTTGTGAGGAAGATTTGAATTGAAGAAAGGCAGCATGTTCCACAGTTTTAGTATAACATCTGTTATCATTCAGTGCTGGTCTTAGCCCAGCATGCCCTTTCTCTAAATATCTTATTAATTAAACTGGCTTAGTAGGAAAATAATTAATACTATAAGTCCTGTACCTACTTAGAAAGGATTTAGAAACTGAAAAAATTGGTTTTGTCTGAGCTTCAGCTCGAGAGTTGTAGGTTTTTTCATTCTTGAAAACAAGCAGATTACAATAGGGAATATCTGAGAAATTTATATATTTATTATTATTCAGAAATTTATATATATAGTCTTCAAAATAGATATATATTCTGTCTTTGAATGCAAAATGACTGTGTTTCTTACCAGTACTATGATAATGAGGTGGGACCTCCTAGCCATGAAGTCCTATGCTGCTGCCTTGCATAACCAGCTCTTGGCTGGGGAGGAGGGTGAGACAGGGCACCCAGGTGGATGCCAGTGAATTTGTGTGAAAAATGTGGATCTGTTACTTAGCTATCTGTGGTCAGATAGAGTACAGAAATAGCATTTGCCTGTGTCTTTGTTCTGTGTGCGGTACTCCTGTCTATATGCAGAAACTGCTGCTTTGCTGCTGATTCACCCAGCTTGGCTTCCCACTGAAGAGCAAGTTCAGTTTGCTGCTTATTCTAACAGAAAATTACACTTTTTGAGACCTATTGGAAAAGGTGCTGGGTGCCACCAAATTGCTCTTTAAACTCAGTCAGTTTTAACAATTTCTTTGGTGGGAGAAGGCTCAGGAGTTAGTTGCAGCTTGTTCTGGCTCTTCTTGGAAGGTCTGAGAGCAGCTATTCTTAAGGAGGAAGAGAAAAGAGCTTTAAATGCTACACCAGAACAAGACCCTTTCAGCACAGGGAAAAGGCAGCTTGGAGAGCAGTCTGCAGTATGACTCCAGAGTTTTATAGTTGAGCCTTTCTTTTCAAAAGCATATTAAAAACTTAGAAACCAGTGTTTCATTGCAAGTCAGTTGAGGTGCCTAAAGCACTTCCTCAAATGGGTGTAAAGCACTCTAGAAAATGCTGTGGCTGTTAGGTTAACAACCTCCAAAATCAAACTGCACCATGTGGCTGATTAATGGGTATGGGGTCTGGTGCTTCAGCAAAAGGACCTGCCTTTAATTCTTATCCATGCTGAAGTTCAGAGAGTGTGTCTCTCCCTGGGGAGACCAGGGTTTTTAACTAGCTTCTGACTGTATATATTGGTCATCTTTGTCCTGAAGAATACATGCTCAAAACTGATTTTAAAAACAGGGAAGCCTGTATTTATCCTATGGAGAAAAGTGAAGCAGAGCTGGCCTTGTTCATATTAGCCCTAAGTATCTGGCAACAAATAAGTTGCAATAAGCACAGTGTGCCAGTATAAGCATAGCTAATTCACCAGATATATGGGTCCCTGTGGGAAGAGTCAACACACAGCAGTACCAAGAAAGGTTGCACCCTCCTGTTTTCAGGGGAGAAGAGGGGGTTTCCAAGCCTCTTTTGCTTTAAATCTGCCTTGGGCAGGCTGAGGATGCTAAGTCCCAGTTCATTTGTGTGTGTGTGCATCAGTGCTGGGTCTGCTAGAGGAGCATATGGCAGAAGCCATTTGCCCTTGACTGTGCCTCTTTTTTGGCAGGCACAGGCTTGTTTCTCACAGAGCGGGTTCAGTCGCAGCCACTCCTTCACATAACTTCTTGAGCCCCCAGCTTGCTGGCTTTCAGCTCTTTGCCTGTGTGTGTCCTTTGTGGTGTTTTGGTTAATTGGACATTGTTTTAATTACTACTGCGCTAAAGAAACATGTATTTTCTATCTGTCGTTTTGCTGCCTCAGTGACTGTGGCCTTCAAGCAGCCAATACAGAACTTGAGCTGTTCAGATCTGGCGTAAATTGCAGTGGCTCTCTTGGAGTTTCCCTCCTTTACATCTCTTTAGGGGAAAACACTCCTCCAGGGAAGAGAAGGCTCTATTAAACAGCTCATTTTTTGCAATGTCCCAGACATCATAACCTGCCCTCACTGGAACAAGTGGCAAAGAATCCTTGGCTTTCATTCTCTTCCACAGCCTGGACACAGTCTGTGCCCATGTTCTGTGGCCACATCTTTCCTTGGTTTGAGCCTTTGTGTTGCTTTTGTAGTATATGGTAGAGATAATTCATGCTATATATGTGTATAAAATATTGTAGAATCTAAGGTATGTCTGTGATCACCCTGGCTGGGAGCAGAGTCTCATTTTTATTCAATTAGTTCCCGGACAACGTTAAGATAATGTCAAGTCTGTTAACGTATGAAAGAAACCTTCCTGGGCCATGATTGATAGTTTCCGTGGAATGTCTGAATCACTCACGGGACCTGCACCTGGGAAGATTACATCTACCATACTCAAGAACCACCGGTGTCACTCTGCTACATACGAAGGCAGGCTCTGCCCAGGTGCTCAGACATCTGTCTGGACACCTGGACCTACCTTTGTCTATTCCTGCACATGTATGGACCCAGTTCTACATGTGAAGAGACGCAAAGAAACGTTTGGTCATCCCTGCCTCAGGCAGAATAGACTATATATAAGCTGACTGCTTGAAGCAGTCGGGGTGAACCACTGGGGAAATGCTGACACTTTGTCAGTCAGATCTCGGTTCACCCAGCACCTGCACCCAGGGCTGACACTGTCCTGGCTGTGGTGGTCTTTCAAAATTCTATTTTTTTGTTATCAATCTAATAAATCTTTGTTAAATTTTTTTATGAATTTGGCTACCGATTTGATCATTTATAACATCTTCTTTCTTACCTTTCCCTCTCCAGCTCCTGCAATAATCTCCCTTTTCTCCCTTTGCTGTCTCTAATTCTCCACAGAAATCAGAAATGTATGGTTTATGTGTCAAAACTAAGCAATGGCTGAGCAGACTTGCCCTCAAATCAGTCAGTCTACCACCATTTCTCTCAATAACAGCCACACTGCAGTAGCAGACAGATTCTCTGGACTACCAGTAGCCTTTATTTCGGGATGTTAAACTGCACTGACTTGAAGAGGAGAAAGAGCATTTTTAAATGCCTTTAAAAGGCATAGAGCCTTTTAAAACAATAATTTCCCTTCTTTTCTATTTATATTGACCCTTATCCTTTGTTACAGCTTTGGAAAGAAAAATGTCAATGAGGCAAAGCAGAGAGGAGCTTATAAAACGAGGAGTGCTGAAAGAAATTTTTGATAAAGGTAAGTGTTCTTCTTTTCACAACAGTAAACTGACATCCCATATAGCTTTGTGTCCAGACATTGCATAATTGTAACACTAGGAACCGGGAATAGAGAGTTCTGAATTGCAAGACTGTGCAAAATAAGATCTCTAAACACTTCTCTTGACTTTGCCGTTGTCTGGCCCTCTCTGTTGAATACGTGTGGTAGTTAGTTAGCAAATAAAAATTAAAACTAATCAGAAATGTAAAGAAATAGAAATAAAAATCACAGCAATAGGCAGTAGTCACTGACTGCAAAAGAGCAAAGCATCCAGGCTGTGGAGAGATGTAGTGGGTTCATGTCTCTGTGTGTTGCCAATGTCTGGTTGAGTCACTTTGGGATTAACTGTTGTGGAAAAGGGAAACATTTAAAGGTCTTGGATTCTGATGAGCACAGAACAATATACTTTCCCTTGAAACAGCTCAGAAGAGATAATAATTCCTTGCTCAGGATAATTAATTTGTTGAGTGCCTTGTCTCTGCAAAATGCCATTGTTTTACAAACATCATTGTTTTACACTGGTAACACAATACATAGTTGGCATCTGTTACATACATGTCAGTATTTGAGTGCGTCTTCTATTTGTTTTGCTGCTTCCCTTGTCAATTACTAAGGTAATTAATTCAACAAATTATATAAAAACATAATAAAGTTACTTCTTAATCACAATAGAATTTATGCCTATGCTTTAAAGCCTCATTAATTCGAAGTCTAAAGGTTTTTGACAAGAGCAGTACAAAATCTTGTAGAAATCAATAGAAATTAGAAGTTTTCATAGATATTAGAAGTATAGCCTACTCCATAAATTCAGGACTATTTAAATCTGCTACCTTCTTTTACTCTAGCTTATTAGGAATTTAAAAATTTAGTAACCCAGGCTGCTAATTTTTTTAAGTTAAAAACAATCAGCAGCAAAAATGTGCTTATCATTAAATTTTACAGTTTCTACCAGTTATATGTAGTAGTATGTCTCACTATGACCTGCTGGCTTATATACCATCCTAGATGCAACTTGAGAGTAAAAACAAGTCCTGTCAATAGATTTGCCCTTCTCACTGCTTTGTGCTGTCCATGTTTTTTAGTGTGACTCAGATCAGACCGCAGCCAGTGAGGCATGGTCCAGGCTGTCACACCAAGGGATCAGTGCTTCAGCCAGCTCAGAAGGCAGCCTTCAGTCACACTTCTGTCCCAGGTGTGACCTCCTTCATCCCTGCCTCACATCCCACATGTAGCCGCCCTCTGAACCATCCCTACATTAACTGAAAGGCCTCCCCAGGGAAAACCTTTTCTGTGAAGTCTGACTCCACCTTCCATGTTGAAACTTGGGGAGATTCCTCTTCTATTGCTACCAAAGCACTACAGGTTTTTTTCCTATTGATCAAATAATGATGTAGGTTGTAAACTTCTGTGTCATCTTGTGAAGCAGATTCTAAGTTGTCTGTAGGTATTTGAGAGAAAGAAATTATTTCCTCTTTATAGTAATTTTTCACCTTTACAAAGCTGATATGAAAAGAAAGAGGTAGGGCAGAGAAGAAAGTGGTAATACACAAGAATAGCAGTAGTACTCAAACAGCTATGATGATACAAGGATGTGAACAAGGCAAGATGTGTAGAGCAAAAGCATTATTTCCTTCAGTGGTGTAATAATCTGAGAGTAATTCTAATGAAGGATTTATTTCATTGACAACCTTAAGTGAAAGTTACATTTTCTTTGTAATTCTTTTTAGGTAACCTCTAATCCTTCAAGAAAACAACAGACCTTTAGCATTTCCTAGCAGAATGCTTTATTTGATTGTGGTAGCACCTTCCATGCCAAGAGGCATCTCGCACAGACAATGGGTGTAAATCTCTTTGTCTCCCTTTCCTAAGAGGTGGGCAAAGCAGGTCTGTCAGTAACTTTGTCTTTTCCTTTCTTTAAAAACCCATACTGATGAAAGGAAACAGTGCAGACTGACCCAAAACCAAGAATTTTTACCTTGTGTTTAGTGTTGGTTTTGTCATATCTTCTACCTTGAAGAAAAGCATAATTAGCTGGTTTGTTTGCCTGCTGTTTAAAGTGACACTCTGACCTGTTTGCTTCAGGATTTGCTGGCTTTTCAGAGGACTTCATATCACCCAGCAGGTGAAAATTATCAGTGCAGTAAGTCACAGTAGTCACACATAGGAGAGTCACTGCAGTTCAGCTGCTACATTTGGAAAACAAGAAATGCTGTTATCATTTCAGTGACCCCCCACGCTTAAATTAGTCACCTGAAGCTGATCCTGACTGAACTGCAGAGAGCTCTTTCCTTGCTAAGGACCAAACTCATGACAGAATCAGTATCTGTTATCTTTCATGTCCACAGGGCTCTGTGACTTGAGTATTCTGAAAATGTAGGCAAAGGCTATAATTTTTTCAAATACTCTGTACTTTCAGAAAATAGTAAGTTGAAGAAGTATCTGATTAAGCTCTTGTTGTTCTTATAATTTGTGGGCACATAGTCCTGAGAGGTTAAAAACACCTCTTCCACCTGCATCACAGAACATACCTCAACATTTAGAAGAACTCATATTTTTGCCATCGCTCCTACACATAGGAGCAGACCTTGATTTCCACATGAAGATGTAACTGTCCCAAAAACATCTGTCATTAGAATTGCCCACTGTTTCATACTGCTGGTCAAAGAACTAAATCTACTTCTAGTATTTTGATACCTCTTCTTCTTTCTGAATGTAGATGAGATTGCCTGTAGTGAGAAATTTCTGAATATGAATATGCACCAATTACTTACGCCAAAGGCAATGGTGCAATGGTTTTCCAAGGAAACATGGGCAGTCTTCATCTTTTATATTCTTGTATTTTAATATGCTCTATCTAATTGAAATTATGGATTTAGACTTAAATTTCAGGTAGCCTAAGTCCTGACAGGATTTGGACATGTTGTACTTATGCACTAAAGCCGATTTTGTGACAATATGTGAGAACAAACTTGAAGAAGTGGCTTTGGTAAAGCAGCAGGAAGGCATGGCAGCCACTGGAGAGCCAGTTGTGCTGCTGTGAAATTGAAAAGTTTTGAACTCCTCCAGAAGTAGCCTGTCTCAAACTCCATGGGATCCCACAAAATCAGGGGTCTGCTTAGGCACTGAAGTTGTGCAGGATCCCAGCTACTGTTCTAAGGTTGCCACCAAGGCTAGGAAACAGTTCCAAGGGCAGGTCTTGACGACATGCAAGAACACCCAATTTTCCATTTCCCATCCTTGGGGTCATGGCAGAGAATGACAATGAATTTTACTCGGCCCTTCCTAGTCTTTGTCATCAAGAATTTCTTGCTTGGACAGTCTACTGGAGAGCAGACAAGTACTGAAGGAGATAACCCAATCAAAAAATTAATCCAGGACTTCAACTTGTCAATTTTGACTTCCATAGCCAGTCTTCTGTAGAAGGAATGCATGAGCATGGCACTTTTCAGATCTGCAAAAAGTTCTGTAGTCCAAGGTAGTTCAGATTAAAAGACACAGTGAGAGGGTAGGCAGAGCTACAAAAGGGGGAACACCACAGGACTGGTTTGTGCCAGTCAGTGTGATGCACTGTGGGCTGCTTCACACCAGGCAATGTTTTAGAAGTACCTGAGAGTGGAAAATGCAAGTGTGTTCAGGAGTACAAACCACGCTTAGAAGCCACAGGTTTTGAAGACATCATCTGTGTATCTCTGGGCCTTTGTCCCATGCTGTGCTTTCACATGCTGAGATGAATCAAAGTGTCTGGGCAGAGTCCTTTGCATAAGAGAGTTTCCTCTGAGATCCTGTTTTTTCAGTGACTTCAGGTGTGCAGAGTCTCCTGAGTAAGAGAAGAGCAGCCTTCATGTGCTCTCTTGCTGCAGAGGTCAAGCTACTCCCTCATGGACCCGTCCAGTTTCACGCACAGCCGATGTTGTTAAAGCTCCTGGACTTAGTCATTTTCCACTAAGTAGCACCAGACACTGTGAAAACAGCAAAGGATTTAGCAAGTCTGAGAACAAAAGATTACGTATGTTATCACTGTGCAATGTTAACTTTAAACTCATAGCCAGGTCCTGAAAACAGATAAGTTCATCCATGTATATGTAATAATTGCATTACCAGGATTCTTTTCATATGTATATCCAGCTTGAATAGCTTTAATACTCTAAAAATAATAAGTAATTTGCCTTTTGTATCTGGTTGTCAAGCATATCTCTGATGCAGGATTAATTCACACTGAGATACTCTTTCCTCTACAATTTTTTTTCCCGCATCTTTGATCTGTTTGCTGTACTTGAGCAACTCTCCAGGTAGCTCTTCTTTAAGCAATACCTGATTTAGGGTGTATATTTCAATCATGATTCTGTGCCATGTCTGATGATTTCATTCAAATCCAAGGACAAGCTTTAGACTCTAAATCAAGATTAAAGCTATTCAGATGTAGGATTAAAAAAGGTTATGCTGTCAGTACAGAAAGATGCCATGCTTTAGTATTATGACAGAAGGTAAAAGCCAAAATTTTATCTTACATTTTACTTTTTCTGCAGTTGTAAGTCTTTATGGGTCATTCAAATGATGTTTTTCCAAATCATGCTAATATACCTTGAGAAGTACATAGCACACTTAAGACAGTAGGATTTCAAGGTGCTCAGCATATTACAATAGGCATCTCACTTCATGAAGAATGTGTAGTCATCCCTCCAAAATGCAAACATTACTGGGTTTGTCATGCATATTTTTCTCATAGTTACAGTCAAATTTAGTTTGAATTAATGCACTGAATTAATTAATATATTGCTGGACACAGTTGCTGCCTTTCATTCAAGAAGCAGATGCTCTACATAAGAAACAGTTACACTCTTTCATGAAACCAGGTGACTGAGAGAACATTAATCCTTATCCCAAACATGTAAACATGTGTGTCTTTATAAAAGGGAGACAGAGCCAGCACAGAGTACATAGCATTTCTACCCAAATAGCTAAGTCAAAAAATGTTCAGCTTAATACTGGCTGATTTTTTTTTTTTATTTTTGCTGCCTAGGAAAGTAAACAGCTTTGAATAGAATGGGCACAGCAGTTAGAAAGGAGCTTGTGCTACAAACACTTGGCCCAAGCCTATAGCTTTAATTCATATTGCCACCTTTTAGCCAGCTCAGTTGATCTCTCAAAGTCATGGGTCAGGTTTCAGTCTAGTATGATGTGACTGCACTACCATAATAGCTCTCTGGGTCTCCAAAAAGCCTCCAACAAAACCAAGAAAGTCAAGACCTCGGTATTCATAATAATTCCAAAATAAACAGGAGACCATCTTCACTTGCTGTAGAGAAGCTTTAAATGGCAGAAACATTATTCTGAATAGTTATCAGCTAATGTATTTTCAGACTTGTTAATTGCCGTATACTAGCACCAAAATGAGAGTTTTTTATCTTTTCAGTATTGTTTTCCAAAGTGATTTGTTAGCCCTATGAGGGGAAAATGTGCACTTATTTGACTGATGTACATCTCCACTCAATACATTGAGCTACATATAGCTAATCAGTGGTGCCCAAAAATCTAAAAGCATATTCTGAAATCCTGAGTTTCATTTTTAGAAGTAATTTAAATAGTTAGTAAAATCAAGTTCTGCATATTTGCCTGCTGGTTTTTAATTTTACGGTCACATTTCAGTTATATTTTCAGGCTTCTATTTGTAACCATAGGGGCTGAACACTTTGCTTTATAAAACTCTAATTGTGATGTCCATGTAGTCACTGCCTCCAGGTACCAGAGTGCTGTGCTTAACAAGTTCAGAGATAAAAATCATACAGGTTGACACTATGGAGAATAATCTGAATCCTTTCTTCTGCTCTTTATTATTTCTAATGTGAAGTGATATTTGATAGGAACGAAAATGCCAGCTGCTGTCACAGAAATTTTGCTCAGATAGAGGAGATATTATTAGTAACTATAAAAACAGGCTTTCTAAATGGAATCTGATATACCCCAGTATCAAGACTTTACATCAGGCAAATATAAAAAATATTCTCTTCCTTACATAAAATGTGGTTATTTGTATGTAAAATAGGGACATATCCCTGTGATTTTGTGTCCTTATAGCATAAAAGTTGGCATGGGGAAAGCTAATAATTATTGTTATTAATATTAAAATATTATATATAGTATGTATTAATATTCTTTCGTTCCAGCCTACTGGCATTCCTGACTTCCCAGATTCAACAAAGAGAGGGAAAACAGATTTTTTTTGGCATTGGATGAGACTGCATGTCTATGTGGGTCAAGGATGGTCAGGAATCAACCAACTTAGACCACGGTTCATAATGACCATTCCAGGGTAGAGCAAAAGATGAATACAGATATTTGACTTAAATTATATGTTACCCCAGAGTGCTACCACCATCACTGATAGGCTCAGCCTTGGCCAGCAGTGGGTCCAGCTTGGAACTGGTTCCATCAGACATGGGAGAAACTTCTGGCAGCTACTCACAGAAGTCACCCATGTAGACCCCCTGCTATAAAAACTTTTCCATGTAAACCCAGTGCATGTGTATATAGAAGATCTCAGTCCAAGTTCCTCATTTGAAAATAATCTAAATGGAAATAGATTTAATTTAAAATTCTGTCTGCATTTTATTTATGTCTCTTTTTTGCCATTCTTCTTTCCTCCAACTATTAACAGATGGGGAACTTTCCATACCAAATGAAGAAGGAGCTTTGGAGAATGGACAGCCTCTGGGCTCTGGGCTGAGCTCCAGCCAGGTGTCCCTGCCAGCCCTAGCAGAACTGGAGTCAGTCCCAGCATCTGTGGAACCCTGCTCATATGAGGTGCTCCCAACCACAGAGATCATGGATGGGACAGGTAACGTCTCATTTATGTTATGGTGTAGATATTCTAAGCTGTTTGAAACAAGTTTTTGACTTCTAACATTTGGTGTTTAGCCCTGAGAAATCCTTGTCAAAATGAAGGTCTTCTGGTGTAGAAGGAGGTGACAGTGTAGAGATTGTCATTGAATGCTCCACAAGAAATTTTGACTGACAGGATGTAGAATTAACCTCTACCTCTAGGCAAGTAACCTCTCTCGGAGTGAGGCAAAACCCCTGCACTTTGTGAACATGTAAAAGCAGGTTTCCAGCTCTCTGTCTACATCTCAGATATACCAATGAGCTCTAGAGAAGAGAGCTTACAACACTTTTGAGCCCTGGGGTACAACATTGTGCCCTCTACCTGCCACATGGTGCTGTCTGTAGTTCCCACCACACATCTGTCAGTAACTAACACAGTCAGCTGCCCTGCCCTTGGTGAGGCTGGCTGCTCTTCTTCCCCAGCCTGTGCAGGGAGACAGCAATGCTCTACATCTAGGTTAGCTCCTCTTTCTGCATCAGGTTGTGCTGCTGAGAGTTGTGGACAAAGGTCAAGTGAGGAAAAGTGAGCAGTAGAAGTTTTCATCCATGATCTTGCGCAGCTATGCAGCCTTTTCAAAAGAGAGTAGACCCTGTGAGGTGCTTTTTACATTTAACAGGGTAAGTTTAGAGACCACCTGCTAATATATCTGGTCCTAGGCAAGCTGTGGTGACAGACCATCAGAGATGTGACATTATAAAACCTGATTTGTGCTCCTGATGTGGAAGTACAACCCAGCCTGGATGGGAGCTGGCTTCTGTCAGAAGTAATGAGAAATTTGGCTGTTGTGTAGATGTGTGTTACTCTTTCTCTTTTACTTTCTTTCTTTCTTTCCTTCTTTCCTCCTTTCTACGTTATACGATGTTTGAGTGAAATCTATGAGTCATTCCTAATCTGCATTGCTGTGCTGCTTTTCTTGTCTGACTTCGGCTGTATCTGCTGCTGCTTTGCTCGTAACGTTGTTGCGTCTATGATGTGGTTGTGTCCTCCAGTGTCTGAAGAGAGCCCCACATCCAATGAATCCGGCGTCCTCCTGTCCCAAGATCCTACAGCTAAGCCAGTCCTGCTACTTCCCCCCAAAAAATCTGCTGCTTTCCCTGGAGACCATGAGGACACCCCAGTGAAACAGTTGTCCCTCCTCAAACAGCCCCCTGCCCTGCCTCCTAAACCTATTGCCAGGATTGCCAGCCACTTAACTGGTAAGTAGGTATTCCTGGACCCCCAGCCCCACCATTTCCCTTATAGGAAAAGCTGCCTTTGTAGCAAGGTTCTCAATGTTCTTCCTCTTTCTGTAACTCTGTTTGCACGCTTGTGTGTGCTGGTGATGTACGTGCTGTACCTAGGGCAGGGATCATGAAATCTTCAGACTGCACCTTCATCAAGGTTGCTCCAGGGGCACTTCCCCTCTCAGCTCTAATTGCTTAAGACCGCTGTGGCATTTCCTAACCCTCCTCACCCTTATTCATCAAGAATTACCTTCACCACTGAAATTGCAGGATGTGCTTTGATGGGAAAGGAAGTATCAGAAAAATACTAGGATATCTTTAAATGCCCTTGATGAGGAAAGGTGTGAGAGTTGAGGGGAAAGGAAGAGTTTTGATTTCTCCTTTTGCCATTTGTTGCTTGTCCCCTCGACTGCCATATGGGCAGGTCCCCCTCCACACACCCTGTATCTTTCCATATGTTTGTCTTTGACTTGCCCCTGATCCTTATACAGGTACTTCTGTCCCACGACTTCTTGCCATTTTGCCTCATTATTTACATTATCTTCCAAACTGCTCCCCCTTTCCACCTCTGCTCTGATTAGTCTCCTCCCACTGGTGAGTCCAGCTCCAATTCCCAATGACCAGGATTTTGATGTCCTGTGCTTTATGCTGCAGTTTAGCTCTCACTGCATGGAAGGTAGCAACAGTAAACAACACAGGCTCTGTTTTGTGTTCCACATGTTTTCACAAGTGTCCAGGTTCTTTGGGATTCAAAGTTCTAGGTGGATGTGGAAGGAGGGTGGGTGTGTCTCCTCCTCCCAGTCTCTCATTTCAACTGCTGAAGCAAAGGATGGCTATATTTATGCTGACCAAAATAGCTTCCCTAAATGTTTGCCTGCACCTTTTGAACAGTGTGCTCATAATTGCAGCTGCTGCACAGCAGGCAGCACCTCAAAATCCTGAGTTGAATATGAGGTGTGGTTCATCTTTGTAGTGGGACAGCTACCAGTCTTCCCCTGGGTTGATCTTGTCTTAATCCTGCCCTGATATTTTCAGAACTGATGTGAGAAATGCTCTGCCCACATTTATGTATTGTAGATTTTTTTTTTCAGACAGTTAATACCCATTTTATTCAGGTTTAATATCTATATCAGGAAAGTGCTCATTAGGAAAGAACATGTTCTGGTTTTCTCTCATCTCTACGTAGTCTCTTCATGTTTCTGTTTGGATGACCACACTTTTTTTGTCCTGTATAGTTTTGTACATTTTATGTGAAACCTCTTTACTTTCTTACCTGCCAAAATCTGCACATAATAGTTAATATCTTGCCCTTTGCTACAAACTGAATGGGTGGTCCTGCAGCCTGCAAGGCCAGGTAGCAGTATTCATGGCTTCACCTAAGGACAAAACCAGCTTCCTGTGATCTCCCATAAAACTCTGTCCCAATTACAAGAAGTTGTTCAGAAATGAGGCCAACATGGAAGAAATAAAAATATAGGAATAGCATAGGAAAAAACTCAGGTCCTTGGTTCATAAGCCATTCTTTTGTAAGAGATACCAGAAGAATCAAAGGATGAGGGCTTCTGGAGTAGTTTTGTTTTTTCTGCAGTTGGAAATTTTGTGTGAAGTAGAATCAGGCTCAAGTTATCAGCATAAGTGAATTGCTTGGTGGTGATGACTTTCCAATGAAAGCGAAACAGAACTGTGACTCCTCTGGTGTGGCCTCTTGTGGTGGCCTTCACTGATGTCTCATCTAGTCCTATATAAAGTCTTGTATGTATAGATAGACTCTTGTACATGCATGTACAAAACCTTCAGGGTAAAGGAAAGGAGACTCAAATTTAGTCATAGAGCCATAATTTAATTGACAGTATTCCTGCTGGTACTGGAACCCTCAGTATACATTCCTTATAAATAAAAGTATTCAGCTTGTTCTAAAGGGTCCATTTACTTTGGTGGTCCAAAGGATATAAGTGTTGCTCAGTGCCTTGTGTTCTCCAGTGGTAATTATATTAGCCATGTACAGTCTTTGGAAATGAGCAATCAATCCTAATGAAGCATCCTCCTCAGTGAGAAGCCGAATTAATGCTATTCTTTTTCTAATTACTCCAGAGACATCCTCTGCTTGGGAGTGAGAAAACAAGCAAAATCTGAACTCTGGCATTCAAAATGAAAACTTTTCATTTCTTGCTGGATACACATTTTTCTACTGAAGAATTTTTGAGAAGGTTGAAGGACAAATTAAAACATATCAGGCATGGCTAGTGGAGAGTGACAGAGGTTTAATGGTCTGGTAGCTCTGTTCAAAAGACTATGAGAGGAGATGTGATCCTGTGAAGGGTTCAGGTATACATGTGAAAAGGCAGAAGCAACTCAACTTCTGTCTACATATATGTATATACATATATATATATGCATGTATATGTATACATAAGTGTATCTATTTAATAGAAAGATGTTTTCTACAAACACATATTAAAAAATCACTACAGACTACAGAGGAAAAAAAAAAGGAAAAATATTTTAAAAACAAACCTTGAGGGAAAAAAGTCAGACCACATCTTACTGGGAAAATATTCCAAAGTTCTTCAAAAAGTTATGCAGACTGACTTGCAGGGCTTGACAAAGAATTTATTACAGGTTTTAGAAATGGAAAAGAAACATTCCTTTCCTCTGAAAGCATTTTGAGCCATCTCAAATATCTATCTGCCTGTGCCAAGACAAAGATTGGCCTTTCGATTGATAAGAAATGCACATAAAAGAGCAGACCTAAATAAACACGTAAGAGCACATTTAATTTTGTGGTGAATGGAAATTAAAAAAAAAATCCATTTAAAGGTGGAAGGAAGAAAAAATTGCCTCTAGCAAATATAAATCACACAGCCTTGGCATGCTTCTTCTCAAGGCTGAGGCTCTGTAGGGATGGGACAGTATAGAAACAGTGCCAGAGCCAAGAGCAGACTGCAGGGCAGCCACTGGGAGTGGTACCAAAACTGCTGCAGAAGATGCTCCATGCTTTTCCTCACGCCATCCCTGTCACAGCACTGGGTGTGGAAGTGCTCACATAAGCCCTAGAAGACAGGAAACTCCAGGAGAAAAACAGCCTTAACTATTTTGTTACCACTGTTTCACTGCTCTGCATGTCCTGTTGGCTAGTCACCTCCTGGTGAGCCTTGTACTGGTTTTCAAACATGATTAGCATTAGACTGATTAGTATGATACAATGTTCACAAGATAGAATTTCTTTTGTTGTTTTATTTCTCTGATATTCACATGCAGAACTCAGGCATTTAGGACACTTCTAGCTTCCTTCACTGAAAATTTAGGAAGAGTTGAAATAATTACCTGAGACCAAATTTAATTGGGGTTCTGGTGTTCAAGTCCCCAGTTTATCAAAAAATCTTTAATGGTCAAGTGAGAGGACTGCTAGGCATGTCTGAATTGATAGACCCCAGTGTTGTAAAGTTCCCTTTGATCTTGATTCATTAAGCTGTTAATTTTCACCAGAGCAGATAATGCTTTCTGGAATTAATTAGATATTTTTCAACTGAATCACCAATAACCCATAAAGCTCCTAAAACACCAGAGAACAAAATATGTGCCATTAAGATGGGATTTCAGGAGCACTTGAGTCTGTTTGAGCCAAAATTCAGCCTAATATTAGGCTGAATAGGATGTAGCTTTGGTTATATCTGGCCATTATCTATTCCATTTAAGCTTTTGCATTCTTTTGCTTTTTTTCATTCAATATTTTGAAGAGACACATAGCACATTTTTAGTTCTGATATTGGGCTTTCTAGTTATGTCTGTGTAGACTCAGAACTAATTTATAATTAGAGTCAAACATTTAATAGGGTACAAAATATTAAAAATCCTCGAAATTTGCTTCTTACAATGCAGACAAGACAAGAATGAGGTTTGAGAGCATGAATGCCTGGGGTCCTGGTGCCTTGCCAACACACAGTTGGTTATGAGTGACAACTTTGTAAAAGTTTTTGCAACTACAATTTGTCCAATAAATACTCTGGAATATTTTATAATACAGTAGTCACATATGTATCAGAAGACTCCCTGTAGATGAGCCCAAGGCATAATCCAGAAGCTTCCTCCACAGTGATGTTACCTCCAGCTGTCTGCTCTGGCAGGCTGCATTCCTGAAAGGAGGTTACGTTCACATGAAGACAATGGACAGTTCTCTCACTGCGTGTCAAGGGAGAAGCAGCAGAACAAAAGCAGTTCTCCTTCACCAGGTTCTCATGGAAACTGGACCCTGGTGCAGTTTCTCCCTCTATAATTCCTTTCTGTGCTTCTTCCTGGAGGGGAGTACCTATCACATACAGGCATCAGGAGATTTTCTCATCTTTGAAACCCTTTCCAAGGCCCTGCACAGGAATTCATGCAGAGCTATACTTTTCAACCTTTAGGGCTAATCATGCCTTGCTTTTGTTCTCCATATTCAACCTGAATCTTGAATGCATATGTGGTACAGAAGAACAGCAAAGAATTCCGTCTCAAATCTTTCCCAAAAGACCTGACTGCAGATCTTGCTATAGTCAGCAGGAGATGCATGGCAAACCTTTGAGAACAGTTTTTGACTTCTCAAAAACTCATTGAAACAAGAAAAGAGACTCTCACCATTTAGGCAGAAGTGATTACAGGAAAGTAGACCTGAAAAGTTACTTGTCCAAATGTTGCCAGTAAATATCAGGCACATCACCCCATGGAGCTCCCTCAACAGGCCCCACTGTTTTTTGCACTGTTTGTTGGTTTGAGGGAGTTTTTTGCACATTATTTTACATAATTAATTACTTAGAATGAATTTAAAGAGTTTCTCATTAACTTTATGACAAGCTGTATTACTTGTATTACTTACTAACTGTATACAGTACAGCAAAAGTCACAGTATAAGGTCATTCAGGTGAGGAAAAAGACCTCAGCAGGTCTTAAATCCAACCTCCTGCTCAAAGCAGAGCCAGGTATGGGATCAGACCAGA